CAGCTAACAACTGTCCGTAACTCCAGTTCCAGGAGATCCGACAGCCTCTTCTGACCTCCTTCAGCATTGCACGACACAGGTGCACTTACCTCCATGCAGGCAATACACACATACATGTAAAATAAAAATAGTACATAAATTTTTTTAAATTTACTTTTTACTTTTTATTAGTGTATGTTACCTGTGTATGTGCCACATGTGTACAGGTGCCCCTAGAAGTCAGAAGAGGGCATCAGACCCCTGGAGGTGGATCGACATGGAGTGCTCACCAATTCTTCTAGGCCAGTTGCCTGCTAGACCAATTGCCTGGCCAATGAGCTGTAAGGAATCCTTCTGTCTCTGCCTTCCCAGGACTGGGATTCCAGATGTGCACTCCCCACCTGGCTTTTTATGTGGGTACTAGGGAGACTGAACTCAGATTCTCATGCTTGAGCCTCACTTTTAACCCAGTGAGCTATCTCCTCAGCCCCAGGAAGTTTTATTCTTCTGTGCACAGTAAAGTCAGAGGTTAGGGACTTGCCAGGGGAGCAGGAAGTAGAGCAGAGCAATTAGTGGTTTTCAAGGTGCCTTTACCCTAGTTGAGGAATATTTTGTCTTTTTTTTCCATTTCTGTAGACTGGCTCTTTAAGTTATCAAGCTATTCAGAGTTAATGAGGATACGAAAGCAGCAGGTAGTAGCTAATTTTCAGGAGGATTTAAGAAAGGACTGCTGCTCTTTCGGGTCCTAGCTCCAAGATGACCAAGAAAAGAAAAAACAACGGTAGCGCCAAAAAGGGTGGCGGCCATGTGCAGCCCATTCGCTGCACAAACTGCGCCCGGTACATGCCTAAGGATAAGGCCATTAAGAAGTTCGTAATTTGGAACAGAGTAAAGGCCACCACCATAAGGGACATTTCTGAAACGAGTGTCTTCGACGCTTACGTGCTTTCCAAGCTATATGTCAAGCTGCGTTACTGCTTGAGCTGTGCCATTTATAGCAAGGTGGTCCGGAATCGATCCTGTGAAGCCAGGAGAGACCGAACACCTCCACCACGATTTCGACCTGCTGGTGCTGTCCCACGACCTCCACCGAAACCCATGTAAAGACCTGGCTTCATGAGGACAGAAGAAAAACCATCTTCCAGGAAAATAAAATAAAATTGAAATTTAAAAAAAAAAAAAGGACTGCTGATTGAAATGAGTCTGATCATTCTAAGCTGCTCATAGAAATCCTTCACTGGCTCTGCTGACTCCGAGGCTAGAGGAGGAAGCTTAAGAGACTTCTGTTGACAGTCAGGAGACAGACTTTCTTACTTGGTCCTACCAGCTGTTTTTGATACTCAGGAGACTGCCCCCCTTGCTCTTCTCCCCTAGTTGCCCATGTCCTCCTGCATTCACTGGCTGTGCTCTCTATTCTTCATGACCTATGTTCCATGTTCTGGGCCTTTGCTCTAGTATTCCTTTAACCTGGAATGTCCACAAAAAACAGCTGGACAGGGTCATGTCCATGCTTCCGGGCTCCTTTTCCCAAGGAGAGAGAAATAGCTAGCATTTCCTTCTCTGTTCTCCTAGAGCACTTTGTTTTGCTCTTAATTATGTATATGAGTGTTTTGCGTGCATATAAGTGTATCCTTGTGTGCAGTGCATGCAAAGGCCAGAAGAGGGTGTTGTGTCCTAGGACCTGGAGTTACCGACAGTTGTTAGCTGCCATGTGGCTGCTAGAAACTGAACCTAGGTCCTCTACAAGAACAGCCAGTGCTCTTAACCCATGAGCCTTCTCTCCAGCCCCTGTTTGTTTGTTTGTTTGTTTGTTTGTTTGTTTGTTTGTTTTTGAGTCACAGTTTCTTGTAGCCCTGGCTGGTCTCAGACTGCCTGTGTCACAGAGGATGATCTTGAACTCCTGATCCTCTTGCTACTACCTCCCAAGTGCTTCCAAGGTGTGTGTCACCACTCAGGTCCTAGAGTACTTAGCATTGTCTTGTGGTTACAAGTTCACACCCCTTTCTCCCTGCCAACCTGTGTGTTTCTGTTTGTAGAGCCCCGTGTTGTATAAAGTTGAGTCTCTATGAGTCTCATTTTCCGTCGGGTATAAATGGTTAATGACTTCCTCTTCTGTTATATTGTCATCCCCCTTTTCTTAGACTGTTGTCATTGGATCACTAGTATCAGCATTGCTTGGAAACCTGATTGTAGTGCAGAATATTAGAGTCTACCTCATCCCTCCTAAATTAAATCTAGTGATTCTTACATGCTGTGCACCAGTAGCTTTGGCTCTGCTTCTGCTCCCTTGACCAGTTGAAGCACTATGTAGCTGTGTGTTCCCTCTCCTTGGGGGAGGAGCTTTTGAAGCATATGAGCTGTGTATTATGTAGTGTGGTTTTCATAGTGTTTCAAGTGCTCGGAAGTGTTTGCCGTATTATCCTACAGGGCTAAGGCATTGTGTTGGAGATGCGCCTTCCATCAACATACTACAGAAGTACATTCCCTTGTGCATAGTGCTTGACTAGGTGTGTGAGTCACTCCACTATGAATGAGTCTGCCTTTTGTCTCTGTTTATAGATCATTGGAGGAGATAGATACTCGTTTAATTTTTAGACAAGGTGGAGTGTGATAAATTCTATAATTAGAGATATATTACCAGGGGCCTCTGGGAAATCCAAAGGGGTTGCAGTGTAATATTTACAGTACAGGAGGCGCATGACTCTTTCATGGAAAAGAATAGACATTTGGTTGGTACCTTGCAGGATAGGTATAATGAGAGAAGGCATTCTAGTCTGAGGGAGAGTCCTCTCAAAGACCTAGTCATGAATGTAATACGTGGTTGTTTTTCATGTAAGTCAACCTTAGGGGAGAGGTGAGTTGGGTGCAGGCTGTGAACTTGAATTCTCGTGAAGAGAACGCTGAGCTTTAAGAAATGTCTTCAGATCACTTGATCTTGCTATGGTCAGATATCCTCGTCCTCCTGTCTTCTCTCACTCATTCTACTTGCTGGATATGGGTGGTGAAAGGTATAGAGGCTTTGAAATGGTTGGAAGTAGGCCCCAGCTGGCCTAGAACTTGCTATTGTAGACTAGGCTGGTTTCCATCTCAGAGAGATCCTTTTGCCTCTGTCTCCTCAGTGCTGGGATTAAAGGTGTGAACCGCCATGCCCAGGGTAACCTTCTCTTTCTGTAGAAGTATAACCCAAGTCTTTTTTCATTGTAAACTGGTCAGCCACTTCTTTTCTCACCACCTTCTTGACTTAACTACCCAATGGGGCTCCCTAAAGCAGAAAGACCAAAGCTTCATCAGTAGAGGGCTTAGAATGTACTTTAAAATACTGCCTTGTCTCAGACTGAACCTAGTGTATTTGAATATACTTCCCTTCAGTTTCCCAAACCTGTGTGTTTGTGAGGACTAATCACTTCTGCTTATGGTGAGATTAATAGTGTTCATCTGTTTGTATTCTGGACCAGTGGGCTGGTCACCAGCATTTGAAAGGATAGGACTTGCCCCCTACTTCTTACCATTTTCTTGCATGGTTCCCTGTTAGGAGCCCACCTGAACTAGGTAGCTAGTGTGACTCATTCCTTCAGGACTGGAAGGTACTGATAGCTTGGAAGTCAAGTTCTCCACTAATTGGCCCTTACTATATTTTTCTTGATCCTTTTTACCTTAGCCAGCTAACATTTCAGATGAGATTTTAAAGTAAAACTCTCTAAACTACACCACCTTATTATTTTTATTTTTTTATGTGTATGAGTGTATTGCCATGCATCCGTGTCATGCAGTGCCTCAGAGATCAGAAGAGGGCTTCAGATTCCCCTGGAACTGGAGTTAAGGACAGTTTGTAGCTGCCATGTGGGTGCTGGGAGTCAAACCCGGGTCCTCTGCAAGAGCAGTCAGTGCTCTTAACCGCTGAGCCATCTCTCCAGCCCCCCTTTTTTTCTTTTTGAGGAGGGGTTTCACTATGTGGCCCGGGCTGGGGTGGTCTGGAACTTGCTATGCAGAACAGGTGGGCCTTGAACTTATGGAGATTTGCCTACCTCTACCTCCCAAACAGTGGGATTAAAAGTGATGGCCAGCTTCTCGGGGCCTTTTTATAAAATAGGCTTTAGGAGTGATTAAGTAAGCCTCAGTGTTAAAGGCTAGATACAGCCTTCTTTTCTGTGGGAAGAATATTGAGCCTAGGTGGATGGATATTCATTAGGGACAATACAATGTGTGCTGAAGGCTTGTACCAGTGCCACAAGGAGAGAGTGGACTGCCTAGAAATTGGGGGGAACCCTCAGAGCATTTGAGCATTTGAGCTGGTTTTTTAAGATTGAAGAATAAATTACTAGGCAGAAAAATGGGAGATGAAGCTCCAAGCAGAGGGAACAGGGCAAGTTGAGAATGGCCAGCTGCTTAAACAAGAGGTAGGCAGCACCACATTCAGCGACATTTGTTCTTCATCCCTCGTAACAGGGTTATGTAGGTGGAATGATAGTGTATATGGGATGGCCCTTTGCACAGAGCACAGTGCCCTTGATGTCCACCCAAGTTGTGTGTGTTGATAGCTTTGGCCTTCATATTTCCAAGTAGCATTCCATGTACCATAGTTTGTTTAATCATTTACTTATTGAAGGATGTTTTCATTTCTGGTTATTAAAGGTAAAGCTGTAGAAATTATATAGGATTATGCATGCATAGTTTTTTATTCTTCTAGGATAAATATCCAAGTATAATTTCTATGCCAATTGTAGAAGAAATTGCCAACTGGCCTGGGACTCACTTTTATATGTATGTGTTTGCATGTGAGTATGTGTATGTGAGTCTGTTTGTGTTTGTGTGTGAGTATTGCTTGCGGAGGCCAGAAGAGTGTTGATCCCCTGGAACTGGAGTTACAGGCAGTTGTGACACCCCCCATGTGGATGCTAGGGAAGAACAATATATGCCCTTATCCACTGATCCATCTCTTCAGCCCCCAGTTTTAAGGGTTTTTTTTTTAAGTATTTTATTTATTATTTTTATCTTATGTGTATGAATGTATTGCTTGCATGTGTGTAAATGTACCCATGTCATGCAATGCCCACAGAGGTCAGAAGTGGGCGTCAGATCCCCTTGAGTTACAGATGGTTGTTAGCAACCATGTGGGTGCTAGGAATCAAACCCCGGTCCTCTACAAGAGCAGCCAGTGCTCTTAACCGCTGAGCCATCTCTCCAGCCTCCATAGTTTTAAGTTTTAAGAGCAAAGCTTGAGGCTTTCCAAAGAAGTTATTCTGCCTCAAGACTGCAAGAGGGCTGGAGATGTAGCTCAGCTGCAGAGTGCAAGGCCATAGGTTCAATTCCCAGTACCACACAGGAAGGGGAGGGGGTAAAATTTTAGGCTTGGAGTATAGCTCAATGGTAGAAATGTTTTCTTAGCATGTTCCTGGGTTCAGTCCTCAGCACTGATGTGGGGAAGGAGGCAGGAATTGCAAGAGAGAAACCTGCCTGAATGTGTTGTCTGCTTGCTGCTATGTGTATTTCAGACTTAAGACTGTAAGAACATAGAACTGAGTGTGGTGGCACACACACCTATAATCCTAGCACTTGGGAGACTAGAACAAAAGAATTGCTATGAATTGACATCCAGCCTGGGCTACTTGATGAGTTCAAGACCAGCCAGCGCTACATAGCAAGCCCCTATTTCAAAACTCCAAAACTGGCCTCGAGTGGTAGCATGTCCTTTAATAGCACTCAGGAGGCAGAGGCAGGCAGATCTCTGTGAGTTTAAGGCCAGCCTGGTCTTTTATAGCAAGTTCCAGGCCAGCCAGGGCCTGGGAAGTTGAGGCAATAGGATCAGGAGTTCAAGAGTGGCATCAACTATGTAACAAGCTCAAGGCCAGCCTGGGCTACATGAGTTGGTCTAACAAAAAAGGCACATTGCTCCTGTTGTAAATGCCTTTATTTCTGTTGATTTAACCGAGAGAGTACCTGAATACCAGCAGAAAATTGCATGAGATAGGGTTAGGGGGGTTTTGTTTTGTGTTGTTGTTGTTTTAAGAAGGGTGCATATAGATTTATTGAGGGAAAATGAGGAAATCTCAGGAGAATGGGAAGGGTTTGAAGGGTGGAATTCTCAGGCTAGGGGATCTTAAATAAGCATCAACACTTCCTCTTTTCTGGAGGATGTGTTCACTTCCTTCTTGGCATTTGTTCCCTGTGACTCTAGAGCAAACATTTTCTATAAAAGGGCAGATAGTAACTATTTTTGGCTTTGTAGGCTCTTGGTCACTGTCACAGCTACTGAACTTTGCCTCTGTATGCTTAGAGACTACTTAGTGTGTTCAAAGCCATACGCTCAATTCCCAGTATCACACAGGAAAGGAAATAAAAAAAGGTATGGGCATATATATGGACTATATATATGGACACTGAAA